TGCATCAGCAGCAAGCATTAAGATGTGCTTATTTGGCACCATAAGTTAGGTGTGCAGCACTACACATTACACACCAAGTTTTCCCAACCAATATTTATCTATGTGAATAGAAAAGCTGAACAAAAATAGAGTTCTGATAAAGGCTGCATTCTCAAATCCTATAATATAAAGTAATATTTTTTTTTTCACAATTGCGGGTTGCCATTTAGGATTGTTTTGTTAATGATAAATAAAAACAGGAATTATTTAGAAGATAAAATACTTCACTGTTCATTACTGCTATACATTAAATGTCTTGCTATATGAAATATACCTGCAACAAGCCAAAATATTTAAAACCAGTGTTTTAAATACCAAAAATCACAGCTATGTTACTGTTCGGCAACCCCATTCAAATGTAATGCATTCTCCCTCAAACCCCAAAAGAGAAAGAAAATCATAGCTGCAGCAAAAGCTTAAAGTTTGCATGTTTGCATTCTGGGTTTTTAAAATAAACACTCCACTCTGCAAACTTTATGGCTGCCACTGTACTTCAATCTGCCACATTTTACTTCAACAGGTAAAGCACTCTGCTGAAAATATAAAAAGTTATAAAAAGGCAATCGTAAGTGATTAAATATTGGTAGGCATGTCGGCCTTCTTTTAATAAAAACAAAAATCGTAATTGTCATCTATTTAAATAAGTATCCTTTGTTATAGAATGTTCCAGTTACTGAAAAAGGGCTCTTAAAAACCCAACTGCCTATATGTTTAAACCCTACCCCTTTCCCCTTAATACATATTTGAGGGAAGTCATTTAATGTGCAAATTGGCAAAACAAATGTGGAAGAGAGGGGACTTCTTGAAATGACGTGCCCAATCAATTCTTGGTTTATTCTTTTATAATACCAACTTCCAGAAAGTAAAATAACCAAAGAAATCTTAAAAATACACAAACAGACCTTCATCTTTGCATTCCTTTCCAGATAAACACAAGAAGTATATACAGCATGTTTAATAATATGCAATATGCAAAAGCTTTGTGTTGCTGTTAGCAACATCTATACCCACCCACCCTCCTTATTCACAAGTGTACCTCTACTAAACACAATTACATCACTAAGCCTGTTAGTTTGAGAGGGTCTTAAATTTGTTAAAACTGGAAAATCTTTGTATAGGGGCTCCACTCATTTGACTCCGGGTTATAGACTTCCACCGTATTCAGAAATTCATTGCCATCAAATCCTCCCACTGCATAGATGGTATTCCCTACAGTTGTAATCCCAGCATTGCTCCTTGGTGAAGTCATATTTCCCATCATCTTCCATTCATTTCTATTTGGATCATACATCTCCACACAGCTGATGGCATGAGAACCATCAAAGCCACCACCTACAAACAGTTTTCCTAAAAAGAGAAATGAGACAGAGTTAAATCCATACAGGCTAAAGTACAATAAGGGAAAGAAACCCTAAATCTATCTTTTGCTTAAAAGTCAGTGGTTTTAAGTAGAAATGCCTGTTCATTCTGTCAAGAAGTATTTATTAAATGCCTACCAATATGGCAAGCACCCTCTAGGAGCTGGGGACACAAAGTGAATCCAATCGATAAAAACTCATTCCCACATGGAACTTAGGCTACTTAAAAGGAAGAGGGAAAGGAAGCAGTAGCAGCATCTAAATAAAGTATAATTCTCACAATAATTCTATGTGGTAATTACTATTATTATCATTTCACAGACGAAGAAAGGCACAAAGAAGTTGGACAACTCACATAAAGATGCGGTTACTAAATGGCAAACCAAATGGCTCTGTGCTCTGGACTTTCTGTGTTAGCCCAGTGCACAGAACTAACACTTGAAAAAAGTTACAGGAAAGCAGATTTCAGGTAACTAAAAAAAAACTTCCCAACTGTATAAAACCATTTTGGTACAGAAATTTCTTCTGGAAACAGACATGCAGAACAGTAAATAGTTAAATTATCTTCAAATGGATAAAATGTTAGCATTAAATAACTCTGAAGCTTAGAAAATATTTTATTACTGATTCTCAAATTCATTAATTTCTCATCTGACGATCACTTAACCAACTTGCACTCATGTATCTGTAAAACACACTGAACAAGGTTCACAAAAAGCTGAAGGCTCCAGGCCAGTAGGCTACTTGCTACTGTGTCTACACTTAAAACTTTCACCAACTGAGCTACAGTCTAAAGGTTTATTTCCAATTAGGTATGGAACAGACAACTGAAAGACTAGAGATTAACATTTACTTTGTTTTGCAAATCAAATTCTTTAAATCCTTGCTCTAAAGAATGGGAAACTAAAATCTAAGATGATGTATTATGGGTATGGTTTATGGAAGAAAATGACCTATCATCCATCAAAAGATTGATAAACTAATGTATTTTAAGTATTATACATCAATGTGATGATATTAGAAAATGGGCCAAAAAAA